TTACAGCCGTGTTCCTCATCAAGTATCTCTCGCGTTCTTTACCCTTCACTAGATTACACATCACTTGTCTCACCCGCAATGGGTTCGACGTCAGCTTCACCGTGCTGTGATCTCTTCCATCATCGTGTTCTTTCTCAATCTCATCTTGATTTATTCTTGCTCCAGTCCAAAGTTCTTCAGCGTAAAAACGGACTTGAAGCTCGTTCCTCATCTCTGATATCTGTAAAATAACGAAAATCCACCTTTAGGGCCATTGGATACTCATTCATTGCTAGCAATATTATTGGTACAATACGCTAATTTCACCAATTCAGACTACGTGTCATTCTCTTGAGAATAATATTCTTTGTTTGAGTTGTATCCATATTCATGTGTCTTCTCATGCGCAACCGTTAARCAAAGAAATGATACTCTAGGGAATGACAAGTGTCCAAGATAAATAGGTCTATTGCCTTGTTGTACAGTAGACTAATACCCTACCTCGTCTTGGATGTACTGTAGTTCAATGGAATTCTCCTCCACAGGGTCAACAGGACCGACGGGTGACAAGATGAGGGTTTGTAGCAATCCTAGTTTTACCCACATACAACCACTATGAACAGAGAAGCTGTCAGCAACACTTTCACCTTGAGAATAAAAAACAAAACAATGTATAGTGAGTAATGTCTTCAGCACTAAAAATTTTCTAGTTCTCAAGCATTGTCATGACGTCCATGTTCGATGAATTTACTGAACAAAAATATTTTTTTGATTTTTTGTTTTGTTACATCATTGAATATGGCGGACAACTCATACCTACAAACACATTAACAAAAAAAAAAACAAAAACGAAAAGAAATGAAGTAGCTGCGCCATCATATGTTACTGACATCATCCAACATGGATGCCCCCCATGTCTTTTGTCATTTCGTTTTCTTTGGATTAATCATTGCAAATGACCAATTCAAAGCTTCAAAGGAAGTCAGTCAYAACCTATAATTTATCCAAATTACCTTCACTCTTTAGAGTACCAACACAAACTTCAAAATGGCTGAACGACTCAAATATCAGCTTCTTCATCACATCAACATTTTCTTTTGTCCCTGTCTTCTGTTCGTATGAAGTGAACATTTCGTTTACCACTTCCTCTACGCGTCCTTCTATTTTAGGAGGCTCTGTTTGGGCGATTGCCATAGCAACCTGTATAACCTCCTCCGTGACGTCATTCGCATCCAATAGAGAAGCCAATGAGAGGAGAACTTGAGAAAACTTTGATGCGAACAGATTTACATCATTTATTCTGAAAAATAAAGAAAAATTTGAAAAACTAAAATAATGTAAATTCACGTGACCACGTGATCAGAAATACTGACCTTTCATGATCGGCTTGATTTGTCACGTGATCGGCATTACTCCACAAATGACGTACAAGAACCTCAAGCTGGTCTGATTTCTCTTTGTGGTTACCAATAGCAACCGATGAGAGCGGGTCATCAACAGCGTCTTCCTTCTTCGTTTTGGAGGGAGATGGATTGTTGAGAACGTTGAACATATAGGAATCAATGTCCCCAGTTAAACGATCTTCAGACTGTGGATTAAAAACATAAATATAAAGGATTACTTATAACAAAATTACTACCGTAGCACACTCCTTTTCTACAGTAGCACACTCCTTTTGGACTTCAGATAAGGTTACGTGACATTTATGGGTCTTTTGGATTTCACGTGGTCTAACTGATATCACGTGAGTGGTTGTCACGTGTCTAAATACTTCTAAGGTTTAGTGGTTTTTTTAACCATATAAAATGGATCACTTGATGACTTTCATTGATACCAATGAAGTAATTGTATCACGTGGACTATCACGTGATATAACGCGGATTTGTGTCACGTGTCTACCCACCTCAGTTTGCCGGGATGATACTATTGCCCATTTAGCGATGTTCATAGATACCAATGGCTTGGTTCTTTGTGTCATCACAGACTGCAAAAGTTCCGAATCAAGATGCTTCATAATGGTGGACAGTCCTTTATCCTAAAGAACAAGCCAAATAACAGTTTAGAACAGCACGGCACGGCACGGCACGGCACAAATCATTTGGTGTAACTTGTGAACGTTCTCTAACAAGTATCAACCTACCTGAAACAAAGCTCCTTGCAGTAAACGATACATGGCCAGGGTGTGACAAGACCGGGTAGAATGACGTAACAGGAATCTGATTAATGCTTCAAGTGTGTTGTACATTTCTTGATTGACGTTACCATGGAAACTACATGAATCAAAACAGAGTTAAGCATTGCATCTTGGGATATGCCTTCCACTGAAGGGCAACGGTTGGAATTTTTATTTTTATTTTTTGACGTCACATGCACAAGGACAAAAGTATGGCCGCCATCTTGGATGATATAACAAAAGAAACCAAGAGCAAATCTTCTGTTGCCGTCATCCAACATGGCGGCTATGACGTCACATGCACAAGGACAAAAGTATGGCCGCCATCTTGGATGATATAACAAAAGA